GACATGAAACCTTAAACCACATGGCCTCGTCCTTTCTTCAATTGTCGAGCAAACATTTGATGCGTATACGTATATATATCTGCTGAGATAACAATAATTAGGCGTAATCATAAGGAAGTATAACGATCCTTTAAACTAATTTTTTTTTTTGTATAAATCTAAGTGATTTCGTGATTTCACACCAAATCGCTCTGTCTTCGAAGGCAACTTTGTTTGGGGTCCCTTACCCCTCCCTCTCCCCACCACCATCACCACCACCCTTTATATGGTTTATACCCATGTTCACAGACATAATACGTGATCATACAACTCCGTCATATATATATTTAATATCCGCTTGTTWTGTGCAGGAACAGGGGATGGATCGCCGTGGGCAGTTTCGAGAACGTCGACATATCGTACAAAAAAGTGGGTGACGGACACCCGTTGCGGCTGTGGCGGGTGTGCACGGAAGTGGAGGCGCCACCCACCGAGGTGCTCGCCCGGATCCTGTGGGAACGGCACGTGTGGGACGCGGACCTGGTGTCGGCCAGGGTGGTGGCCAAGATGGACGCGCGCGCCGATCTGTACCAGTACGCGGTCGCGGCCATGGCCCCGCACCCGGCCAAGGACTACTGCGTGGTCAGRTCATGGCGGACCGATCTCAACCGGGGCGGTTGCGCGGTCGTCGAGACGTCCGTCGAACACCCTGACGCCAAGCAGCCGGCCGCTGGAGCGGTCCGCGGCATCGTGCTTGCCTCCAGGTACCTGATCGAACCATGTGGTTCGGGACGGTCACGTGTTCTGCATTTGTCGCGGGTCGACACCAAGTGAGTGCACTTTTTGGTTTAACGATTATTCACAATTATTATTTCTTATGTGCCTCCTGTCTCGTAGACAACGTCATAATATATAGAGATACCGGCGACATATGGATAGGTCTTTGTTTCTTATATAATTTTGTCCGTCGTCTCGATAAATTTGATAGRTATCTGAAAACATTGTCAAATTCGTTATGAGGCTTAACAAAATAATTGAGACCRAACATTTCATACATTTTTACATTTTTACATTTTAATACACAACTCAAACTGAAGGGAAAAGTTAAATCGAAATTTGAATTCATTGCGGCTGATATATTTATAAATTTTCAAATTTTGATAARTAAATTTAATTAAATTTCCAGTCTAAAAACTCTGTTTCAAAAAAATAGAGTAACCTGTAAGGGGGGCGAATGATTTTCGTACGACTCTTGTGAGATCAAAATCTGTTTTCCACTCCATTTTTCGTTTCCAACAATTAATCGATGCCAAAAAATTCCTTATAAATTGTCATAAAATATTTTATTAGAACRTAATAGAATAATAAAACGACACTGTGCATAATAAATAGAATGCTTATTTTATTTTCGAAATTTCATAGAATGGAACTTAAATTAAAAAAAAAAAATTAGCAATTATATTGATATGACAGTGTCTATTTGTGTCTATTTTTTTAATCGCTACACTACAGGTTGTATAATCTCAAGTACCATATACATATTATAATGGTTTTAATTTTTTTTCCTTATCAGACATTSTTACCACAATGTTTTGCACAAACCAAAATATTTGCATATTTTATTCATCATGTGTATGAAACAGTATTACTGTCAGTATGAAAATATTCAAATGTCCTACAACGCAGAATTATTTTTTCATGTTTTTAACATAATTTTATCCATACATATTTTTAAACAAATAAATATAATATTTATTGTGTACAATATTTCCATTTCAAAATAGTATTATGCCTAATACCTACTTCTTTTTCATTCGAGTTGGTAATTTATTTTTAACCGGTCCACTTCAAAAACGTGGCACTACTACTACAGGTCTTACCGATATGATAATAATAAAAATCTATACAATATTATCGTGTTATATAATATTATAACTTCGAAGTTTATCGAATAATAATTGTTCGGGCCATTCCGATATTTATTTATAATATTACGTGAAACATAAATAAATAAAATTTGTTAATAACGACGCCGTTGACAATTTTTCAGGGGCAGGACCTGCGAGTGGTACAACAAGATATACGGACACATCACTTCCAAATATTTGTCTGCAATACGAAAATCTTTCGAACACTCTGCTGACGGTCCCGAGAGCAAAGTATGACTCGGCCTTCGATTATTATTATAACGGTTTTGTTTGTTTTTTTTTCCAATTATTGTTGTTCTTGTTTTTTATTATTATTGTTGTCATTGTTATCGCACTCCCGTAAATGATTTCAAAGTTTGCGTCGACACAATAATAACATATACCTACCATTAAATATTAATTATATTAATTATTAATAGGTACCGCTAAAAATATGTGTAATATAATTTTCAATATTGTACATAATTATGAGTTAGGTATACGATCGGACGTCGRGTCGTCGCGTTCAAATATTATATGTTTGTATCGTTGTATTATTATATAATTTTTATATTATTATTATTATTTTATTTTTAATGCTCTACACTATATACAAAATATTATTATAATTAAAACCTCCAGACCACGTTGTTAAACTGAACAGTAGACTGATCGCGGTACGTATATCCACGCACCCCTGTCCCCCTCCTCCCGACATCCTAGAAAAACACCAAAAC